ACAAGTTCCGGTATCAATGAGCAAAGACTAAAGATGAAGGACTTTGGAACTCTGCGAAGGTGGTATAAAGTTGTTTTTGAAGAGTATATGGTTAATGTGTCTCTGTATCCCTGTCCTTTCGAGTTAATGATGTGGCCGCATTTTGGTAACTCGGATATTCTGTGCATGCCTTCCATTTTTTCGTCATCTATTCCTGGCTTCACGCGTGTCATTCTCTCTAAGGTTGGCTGTGAAGACACTTAATCATGCTGCACTCACATAAAGCACTAGTTCCTAGCTTTTGTTTTCTTTTTATTTTATTTTTAAATATATAAATATGTGTAGTTTCTGTGCCACATGCCAGTTCTTTATTTATTCTATTTTGTTTCTTGTCATTATCCCTCGCCTCTCTCAGATTTCCGTTGTCCTATGTTTCTCATAAGTTGCAACAAATCAGGAACTCTGGTATTTACTCCATTATTTGATCTCAGTGGTTTCATCACACTCAAAAGCAGTTCCGCAAAACTCTAAGTTGAGGATAAAATTTTGAATGGATTCCAAATAAATATTATTGCGTCATGACGCGCTGTCTTTATTTTTCTGAAGTCTATAGAATGGTAGATGGATTTAGTCTAGCTATTTTTTTGGGTTCGGTGACAAAGGGACAATTAAACAAACATCGTACTTATGGTTCTTTTAGTTGATTACCTCCTTGGCTCCTTTGATATTTGTGATGAGAGAATGCAGTGGCTCTCTATCTCTGAAAATGTTAGTGGTATGTTTATGTGATTTATCATATTAGTATTTAAGGTGTTTCTTGTCTGAGAAATAGAATGATAGTGTCGCTGGTGCATGTGGTCTTCTCCTTTTATGATTTCAGCCAATTGACATTTCCATGGATGCCGTCTCTGTTTTCACTTGGCAGAGGACACTTATGCTAAAGTATCCATTGATGATTATGAGAGAGATGAGCGGTTGGACTTGGAGGATAATGAACCTGAGTATGAACCCGAAGAATATGGAAGTGTAGATTATGATGATAAGGAAATTGAGCAAGATCCTCAAGAAAACGAAGGTGAACCGGAGGAAGATCCTGAAGAAGTGGATATTGGTGATGATGAGGGTGACTTGGTTGAGGAGGAAGCGGAAGGTGTTCCTGAAGAACTTGAACCTGAGGAAGAAGTTGAGCATGAAGGGGAGGGTCATGCTGAGATGTATGATGCTGCTGAGCAAGATGAACATCATGAAGTTGTCAAGGAGAGACGAAAGCGGAAGGAGTTCGAAATTTTTGTTGGGGGATTGGACAAGGATGCTACTGAGAGTGATCTCAGGAAAGTTTTCGGTGAAGTTGGTGAGGTTACTGAAGTTAGACTTATGATGAATACTCAGACAAAGAAGAACAAGGGTTTTGCTTTTTTACGTTTTGCAACTGTGGAGCAAGCAAAACGAGCTTGTGCTCAGCTGAGAAACCCAGTGGTACTTTTATAACTCCTTACCTGTTCCAACTGCTTTATTTTGCCTGTGAGTTGCATGCATTTCTTTGACGAACCCAAATTTCAGGTCAATGGCAAGCAGTGTGGTGTTACTCCTAGCCAGGACAGTGATACTCTTTTTGTGGGTAACATATGCAAGACATGGACAAAAGAGGCTGTAAGTTGATTGGTTATTGTAGATCATCAATATGATTTAAATGTAGACTGCTGCTTAATTGACACCCATTGTTATGTAATGTGTTCTAGTTGAAAGAAAAACTAAAGCATTATGGTGTTGAGGATCTTGAGGATTTGACATTGGTTGAAGACAGTAACACCGCGGGGTTAAACAGAGGCTTTGCCTTTCTGGAGTTTTCGTCCCGATCTGATGCCATGGATGCTTTTAAGCGTCTACAGAAGAGGGATGTAGTATTTGGAGTAGATAGGCCTGCAAAAGTTTCTTTTGCCGACTCCTTCATTGACCCTGGTGATGAAATAATGGCTAAGGTACATCTGGCAGCATGAATACCCAGTGCATCTGCTCGTTTCAGATATTATTTCAGGCATGCATATTCTTGACAGTGTTTGATAGTTGACTTTGACATCATGTGTACCATTAAGATGCAAATAATAGAAACATATGTCAATCTTTGTTTACATTCAAATGGTCACTGTTCTATTGATAGCTTATATGTACCTTATGTACCATATAAATGCATTGTACACTCTTTAAGTTTTCCTTTATGCTTTATTGTCCTGGGAAACTTGATTTCAGGTTCAGACTGTGTTTGTGGATGGTATATCTGCATCTTGGGATGAGGAGCATGTGAAGAATCTTCTTAAGAAGTATGGGGATATTAAAAAAATTGAGCTTGCCCGTAATATGCCATCAGCCAGGAGAAAGGATTTTGGATTTGTTACATTTGACACCCATGATGCAGCTGTTATTTGCGCGAAAAGTATCAACAATGAGGAGCTGGGAGGAGGAGATGATAAGGTTTCCGCTGAAAGTGTAATCTATAATATTTCCATTATTGATTTTACGACCATGCTAAATTGCGGTTATGTTTTAGGTTAAAGTTAGGGCCAGATTGTCAAGACCCCTTCAGAGAGGCAAGGGAAAAAGCGTTGCTCGAGGTGACTCGCGGCCTGTGCGTGGGTCAGTTAGAGGTGCTAGGAGTCCATGGGGTGGCCCTGTTAACCGTAGTGCCTCCTTCCGCGGGTCTAGAGGATCTGGATCGCGTGTTCCTCCTGTAGCTGATCGCGGGTATAGAAGACCTGCTGGGATTCTGGATAGAAGACCAGTCGTTGCTCCTCCTCCTCCTCGAAGTAGGCCAGCTGCTCCCTTACCAAGGTCGTATGACAGGAGGCCGCCTCCTGGTATGCTAGGAACTTTAAACTGATTATTATTTTCTGCTCTATTTGCATTTATGTCCTAATATACTGTATTCAGTTACATCATACTCCAAGAGCGGTTTGAAGAGGGATTATGGTCACCGAGAGGAGCTTCATCCTAGAAGCAGAGCTGCAGTAGACTATAGCTACCGAGAAGTTTCAGATAGACGTCTGCAATATAAAGACGTCTATTCTCCTCGCGCACCTGTTTACCCTGATTATCCTAGAGTTGATGTACCAAGGTCTGCAGCAAGAAGACCTTATGTTGACGATGGCTACAGTCAAAGGTATGAAAGGCCTCCTCCAAGTTACAGGGATGCACGTGGTCGTGAATACGATTCTATGCCTGGTTCTAAACGCCCATATGCTGCCTTGGTACTTTTTTGGATTAACTTTGTATATCTTGCCATTTTCTTATAAATCGTTTTGTTCTGTCTCAATATTCGATCTTGGATTAATATTGAAAAATTCATGTAAGGATGATGGTCCCCCACGCTATTCAGAGGCTGGGATGCGTCACTCTCGTGCACGTCTAGATTATGATCTTGGTAGTGGAGCTTCTTACTATGGTGATGCTTTCAGTGATAGGTCAGTCATGGATGTGTATGTACTTGTGATCTTGTTAGGTGGCTTTATCTTTTCTGTAAAAAGTTCTCCCTTACTGATCTGCTGTCATTTATTGATGATAGGTTAGGGAGGTCAAACATTGGTTATGGTGGAAGCCGAGGCTCTTTGCCCAGTCAAGATTCCCATGGGTTTTACGGTGGTCGTCAAGGAATGGGTTACAATGGAGGTATGCTTTGGGTTGTAATCCACACTCAACAGAAGCTGTCAATTTGGCAAATGCCATTTATGGTTACATAGTCTCTTTCCTCTTTCAGGTCCTTATGGTGGTAGTGATGTTGGTGGGATGTACTCATCAAGCTCTGGTGGTGGTTATATGTCACGTGGGAGTAATGTATACCTAGATATCTTTTTTTTTTTTTTTTTT